CTAGAAAGGAAACACAATTTACACATCCAATACAAATAGCAGCTAAACTTTAAAGCCTTCTCCATGCAAATTGTTCTGCCTTCCTCATCATGTTTAACCCGTCAGAGAAGCCCACCACCTCCGACTGATGATATAGAAGTCCAGCCAGTGATTGTCAGAGACAAGCTTTGAACACCTGCACATCTGGCCTGTTCCCAGGCATAGGCTCCTGACCATCCCAGACTGAACGACTTTCCCTGGAGCAGCAGTCAGCAAGATAGAAAAATGGAACAAAATCCTACATGGAGGAGCGGTCGAGGGCCCAGGAAAAGTATTCAATTACCCTTAAAAAGAACACAAAGAAGAAAAAGATTCTACAGAACAGGGCAAGAATTAGTCAAGAATGGAACAGGCTGTCAGGACATGAGGCAGATGGACGGGTTCTGGTGCTGGCCAAAGTCGATAGATTCTTTCAGGGTCTGACACCCCTACCCCATCCTGAACTCCTGACTCCTGACTCTCGTTTTGTGAAGTGGTGAAGAAATGAACAGCTAAGGACATCTTCTTTCTATCTAGGATCTCACTTAAGAAAAGTACTAAAGAAAAGTATGTGAGTCTTGCGGAGGAGACCACATGTAGGTCAGGTCAACACAAATTCAAGGAAATCTGGGAAATCAGAAAGAGCCCAAGAAACTCAGCAAGCCACAGAACTTAGAGGTATGGCCCCAGACATTTTGGTAGGCAATTTCAGACTTTCCAGAAGCTGGTCTAAAGTAGGAAATCATTATATAAAAGGTGATTAAATGTGTAAGTCAGTTGTTTGTCTCTGTGACAAAATACCTGAGATAAACAATTTATTCTTTTTGTTTTTGTTTTTGGTATTTTTGAGACAAGGTCTCCCTGTAGCCCCAGCTGGCCTGGAACTCACTATGTAATGATCTACCTGCCTCTGCCTCCCAAGTGCTAGGATTAAAGGCATGTGTCACAGCCTGGCTTGAGATAAACAATTTAAAATGTTGAAAGGTTTACTTTGGCTCAAGGCTACAGAGGTTTCAGTCCATGGTCAGCTGGCCCCATTGCTTTGGGCCTGTGGTGAGAAAGTTCAGCAGCAGAAAGCTGCTCAACTCTTACAGCTGGGACTCATGGACACATCCCCAGTAGCCTACTTCCCTTCCAGGCCCACCTCCTTAATGTTCCACTGCCTAAAGTTTCCACAGCCTCCCAGCAGTACCAGAGGTTGGGAACATGCCTTGGACTTCCAACTATAGCAGTGAGAGCGCTTTCCTTCTGGATAAAAAAATAATAATTACATTTATTCAGTGTGTGTGTGTGTGTGTATATGTGTGTGTGTGTGTGTGTGTGTGTGTGTATATACACATGACACAGTGCACATGTGGAGGTCAGAGGGACATCCTGCTGGAGTCAGGTCTCTCCTTCTACCATGTATGACCAGAGAATTGAACTCAAGTTATCAGGCTTGGCAGCAAGTACCTTTGCCCACTGAGCCATCTCACCAGACCTTTCCTTCAGATTTTTGATGACACTGCTTTGGAAAGTGGTCGTTGAGTGTTCTTTCTATTCTTCACACTCAAATGTGACCAGTCAAGTGTCAGCCACTGCTGCTTATGAGGAAGTCGTATATGAATTAGGTTAAGAACAAAGAATAACACGTTACCTTAAAAGAAACAAACCTGTGACAGAAGATCAGGGCCACAAGTTTTCAACACTGGGTGGAAGTTGGACCCAGATGCATTGAGCCATCACCAGGAGCTTTTTAAGATGGTGCGCATGAGATTTGTCACACCAAAGAGTCTACCAAGTGTCTTCAAGACACCCTGAGCTGTTCTCTTACACAATGTGGCTTTATTCTGACACACCTTTGGGATGAAAAGATACAGCTACCATTCATTCTATGATTGAATACAGTCTTCACAGGCACTGAACATCTGTGTGGCCTCAAAATTTACATATTAAAATTCTAAGCCTTACTATGATGACAGCCAAAGGTCATCCGCCCATGAGGGTGGAGCCATCACTGGTTTATGCCCTTGGAAGAAGAGGCACAGACAGCTTGTTTTCTGAGGGGCACGGAGAAGTCTGCTGTCAGGAAGTCAGAGGAGAGCACTCTTGATACTCTTCAAGCCTCCAGAACCATGAGGAATGAACTGTTTAATGCAGTTTATAGTAACACTTGTAAAGCAACTGGGCCTGGGTAGCAATTCAGAAGTTACTGTCAATCTCCACAACCCACAGAGACTACAAGAGTCTTTGCTAAGTCCATACCCTCCTGCCCACCATGTCCACTACAAGAAAATACTTTTCAAAGACGCCAGAGGTGAGGGAGAAGTTTGTTTAATGCACATGTGTATTTCCAGTTTTATAGAGAATGAAGAAAAAAATAGAAAGCTAACCTAAAATTTCCAACGAGAAAAATGGCAGAATCACAGTCCTTCCATTTGATAGATTATGCTACCATTTAAAAATAATATTTGGGGTCAGCGAGATGGCTCAGTGAGTAAAGGTGCTTGCCACCAAGGCTGACACCCTGAGTTCAATCCCTGGGCACCACATGGTAGAGGAAGATAATGGACTTTGAAGTTGTCCTCTGACTTCCATACACATGCACTGTGGCATGTGCCTACACATGTGTGCACACACGAAGTAAATAAATGTGAAAAATCAAAAAATACATAAATTTTAAAGTGATATTTTTAAATATTTTATTATTATTGTTTATTTTATATGTATTTCTCACATGTATGTAAGTGCACCCATGTCATGCAGTTCCCTCAGAGGTCAGAAGAGGTTGTCAGCCCCACTGGAACTGAAGTTACAGACGGTTGTTAGTCACCACGTGAGGGCTGGGACTAACCCTGGGTCCCCTGGAAGAGCAACCAGTGCTCTTAACCTCTGAGCAATTCCTCCAGCTCTGTAAAGTAATATTTTTGATATAAGAAAGTGCTAATGACTAAATGTAACATTAAAAAATAATGATGTGGGGCTGGAGAGACGGCTCAGTGGTTAAGAACACTCACTGGCTGCTTTTGCAGAGAACGCAGATTCGATTTCCAGCACCCACAGGGCAGCTAACAACCATCATTAACTCCAGTTCCAGGGGGTCTGATGTCCTCTTCTGACCTTTGTAGGCATTGTACGACATGGGAGTACTTACATGCATGCAGGCAATACACTTATACACATAAAATATTTTAATAATAGGGGCTGGAGAGATGGCTCAGCGGTTTAGAACACTGACTATTCTTGCAGAAGACCCAGGTTCAAATCCCAGCACCCACATGGCAGCTAACAACTGTCCATAACTCCAGTTCCAGGAGATCCGACAGCCTCTTCTGTTCTCCACGAGCACTGAACAACATGGGTGCACTTATATATATGCAAGCAATACACATATACACATAAAATAAAAATAATAAAAATAAATTTTTTTTAATATTTTAAAAATAATGGTGTAAGTAATGTGGGGTTTGAGGCAAATTTGGGGGAAATTTACAGGTTTGGATTTCTTTCTGTTCAGAAATACAAGATTTCTCCCTTATTTAGCAGAAATTGTGCTTCTCAATGGAATTTTATGATTTTCTTTATAAAGTCCCGCACACTTTGGGAGGGTAGGTGTAGTATATGAGTGTTTGAGTGTGTGTGAGCACACATATGTGTACTGATTAGCACACACGTGTGTACATGAAGGCCCAAAGTTGATGTCAGGTGTCTTCCTCAATCACTTTCCACTTTATCTATTGAGGCAGCATCTCTTAACAAACCCAGAGCTCACTGATTGGTTAGTCTAGGTAGCCAGCTTGCCTAGGGCATCATCCATTCTGCCTCCTAAGTGCTGGGATTGCAGAAGGAGTCCATGCCTGCCCAGTGTTAACATGAGTGTTGGGAATCCTGGTCCTCACACTTGAGCCATACGTGCTTTATCCATGCATCTCCCAGCAGCCATTTTATACTGCTGGCTTCTTGTGTTGTTTTCCTACTGTGAATGGAAATGTGAGTAGATCTCACTGTGTAGACCATGCCAGCCTCACTCTCACAATGGATCTGCCTGCCTCTGCCTCCCAAGTGCGTGGATCAAGGTGTGCATTACCATACCTGGCTCTGTATTTTTAAGTCTATTTGGCTTTGGGTCAGTTCTCTCTTTCCACTATGTGGGTCTTTAAGCTCAAACTCAAGTCATCAGACTTAGTGGCAAGCACCTTTACCTGCTGAGCTATCCCTCTGGCCTGGATCCATTTTACATAATAGGTTTTATAAAACCCATCAACCTTTTTGAAACAAAAGCCATAGATGACACATTTTGCCCACGCAATTTTTGAATCAGCACATTCTCTATTTGTATAGAATAAATAAAAGAGAAATATTTATAATTTTGGAATTATATTTAAATATCAACACACTATGACACAATTATACCCAGAAAACATCAATGCCTCCATAAACTTCTAAGATAATTGCTAGGTTGAGGTACAGCAACCTTGAGTACACTGTACTTTGTAAAGAAAATATCTAGGGGCTGGAGAGAGGGCTCAGCAGAAAGGAGGGCTTGCTGCTCTTCCAGAAGACACAAGTTCAGTTCCCAGAACCCATATTCGCGACTACCAGTAACTTCAGTTCTAGGGACTCTTCTGACTTCTGTGGGCATCCTTTACACACACATTCATAAGGTATACACACACAGGCTCACACACATACACATGCAATAAAAATAAATCTTTTTTAGATGTGTAATATATGAGACTTTTTTAAGTCTGTTTTTCCACTGAAGATAATTTTTTTCTTATATGAATGTTTGTGATTTTTCTATTCAGGGACATGATAAGTGGGGTGAACTTCCTAGGACAAGGGAGGGGACCCTTGCTGAAAGGACAAATTCAGAGCCTCGGTGTGGTATAGTTCCAGATTCTTGGAAGGCAGAGGCGGGAATCTACTCAGAGCCAGCCAGGGCTACATGGCAAGACCTAGTCTCCAAAACCTAAACCAACCGAAAAAAGAAACCACCTTACCTCAAAGGAGTATGCTTTCCCAATTCCATCTCCCGCTCCAGTGATCACTGAGAAACAGGAACAGTCTTTAAGCCACAGAACTCATCTTCAAGCATCTGCTTTGCTCACCAGCTATACTTGCCTGCAAGTCTAGGAATTCTCATATTACAAAACCACATTACTCCATTCCAAAGTTTTCTCCCCTTGGTTACTTCTCACAGAACACGCAAAATGAAGTGTTTTCCTGTTTTGTTTTTAAGGGGAAGGGGTTCTCCGTGGGTCTTTTAAAAGGATCAGTGAGAGATTAGAAAATACACTCTGAAATACAACAAAGCATTCAGCCAAGAAACATTGTCTTAAGACTTTGGGAAGAGCAAGCCTTAGCATCTCAAGGGCAAGCATGTTCCCTGTTATTGCTCCGTCCCTACCGGGTGCTCACCCCAAGAATATCTCAAGGTTCCTTCTGGAATGAAGTCTGTCCCCTCCCCTCCTCCACCTCAGTGCCTGTGGAAGATAGGGACGTAGCAAAGAGAAGGACACAGGGATGTGTGAAGGGGATGCAGCAACCTGAAGGACCTTGGAAATTAATCCTTGATACCGCTATCAACAACCAAAGCCCTCATGGGCTTTCTGGACCTTCATGCCTGAAATCAGGCAAAGAGTGCCACAATTTCTAATTTCACAATTCAGTACACACATACTTGCAACTGACCTTGGCCCCAACAACTAAAGGACATGCTTTTTAAAAAAATTTTTATTTATTATTTTTATTGTATGTGTATGCGTGTATTGCCTGCATGTAGGTAAGTGCACCCGTGTCGTGCAATGCCCGCAGAGGTCAGAAGAGGCTGTCGGATCCCCTGGGACTGGAGTTATTGACAGCTGTTAGCTACCACGTGGGTGCTGGGATTCGAATCCTGGTCTTCTGCAAGAGCAACCAGTATTCTTAATGGCTGAGCCATCTCTCCAGCCCCAGGACATGCTTTTTTAAAAATGTTAACAAAAGAGCCATTTAGTTTACTCGCATGGAGTTCAAGGTAGTCTCTGGGGATTTTAAATGTTCAGCCCCTTGTCACTGGGTTTCTTCTTGTCCTCTTCTTGAATCCATCTTCCCTGGTGTCTGCCTATGCCTGAAGGCATTGCACTCTTGCTCATATTGTTATTCAATCTTGACCCCAAACAGGCTAAGATTATGTTTTTCACTTTGAAGCCACTGAGTCTCTGGCTCCATTTTAATTTCTTTTGTGAGGAGTTTTTTCAGGATCTAAGTGGGCAATGGCTGTGCAGAGGCTCAGATGCACCTAGCTCATGGGCATTTGAGTTTGTACAGAGCAGGGTATTTGGATTCAGAACCCACAGAGGCCCAGGTGGTTTAGCAAGTTTACTGGAAATAGCACACCCACACATGTGCATAAGCACACACATACACATAAACACACAAATACACATACTCATGTATGCAAATGTGCACACATGCACATTCAAATACATATACATGCACACATGAGCCTATTTGTGCATATACATGTACTTACATGCCCATACATGCATGCACACATGCACAAGCACATATACATATGTGCATATGTATTTGCACACACTGGAAATGTAAGAACATCAGTTAGAAATCTATAGATCATCCTAAACAATTTCTCATATGGTCATTTAAAAAACTTTTCCATAACAAAGTTTGCAAGTTGCCAAGCTTAGTGAATAATGGCACAGAATGTCCCATCGGATTTTAAATAAATTAACATTTGGATTTCAAATTTTTTGAAGCACCCTTTAACAAAATGGAAGTACACCAGCCCAGAATTTAGAAATCTGGAGATGAGGACACAAGTATTTCTGCCTTATTTATCATTTGTATAATCAGAAAACCCCAAAAGAAGAAAATCTAGTGAAATTCAGCAGACCGGCACATGGGTGAGGGCTGAGGGCTGAGGGCTTTCTTCCCTCCTTATTCTTATTTTACTTTTCAGAAAAGTCTAGTTTCACAATTCTAATTTGTAAGTTTTCTAGCCCCACCAATTAAATTTGATTCAAAGTCCCAAAGGGATTTTGAGCAATCAGATGAACAAAACAAAGATCCCTCTTACCTGCCCATTGTCCCATCGATTTCAAGAAAGACCTTGGCAAAACCTTCCAGGATCTCAATAGAAGGTATCTGGAGAACCTCACACACTTTGCTAGGCAAACCAAGCACACCAGCAACCCCACAGAAACGAAGAGCAGCTCCAGAGCCTCCCCCATGGCGGCCCTGCAGAGATGCTGCCCCTACCTGGCCCTTGCCCTGTGTGCCTCCCAGGGCAGGCCACTTGGGGACCTGCCAGATCGCCTTCCAGAAGGCACGGAATGTGTTCCATTTATCCGGGAGCCTTTAGATTAGAGTAACTTCTTTACACAATCTTGTGATTCATAGGCTTTTGAATGAAGTATTCTCCTTAATATCTTTCATAGCACAGTTGGGCTTTTTTTATGACTGGAGAAGCTTAAAAAAAAAATAAAAAGAGAGGGGCTAGAGAGATGGTTCAGTGGTTAAGGTCACTGGCTGCTCTTGCAGAGGACCTGGGTTCGATTCCCAGCACCCACATGGCAGCTACAAACTGTCCTTAACTCCAGTCCAGGGGAATCCGAAGCCCTCTTCTGACCTCTGTGGCATTGCATGACATGGGTGCACTCACATACATGCAGGCAATACACTCATATGTATAAAAATAATAAATAAAATATTTTTTGAAAAAGGAGAAAGTGGGCTTGAAGAAAATCAAAGCCCAGGGGCAACATGGCAACCTGGGCTCTTTTCCTTGGGTTTGGAATCTGCTGTGGCTTGGTCTCCAAAGGTTCCTGTGTTGGAAGCCTGATTCCCAGGGTAGTGATGTTGGAGGTGATGGAACCTTTGAGAAGTGAGACCTAGTGGGAAATTCTGACGTCTCATGGGGCAGGGGGTGGCAATCAGAGAGGAACACTGATCATTTGAAGAGAGTTTTTTCAATAGTGAGTTATTATAAAAGCCTAACCCTGGCCCCTGAATCTCTCTCAGACTTTCTATTTGGAGACAGTGGTCCCTATTTGCACATGCCTTCCTATCATTCAACAGGCCAGAAGATGGCATAGCCAATGGATCTCTCACCAGAGCTTGAACCACACTGGGTGGACCTTCAGGTTCCAAAACTGGGAGTTAAATGAGATTCTTCTCTTTATAAAGTTAGCCTGGCTCAGGTATTTTGTTTTAATAATGGTAAGTCAACTAATACAGAAACTAAAAAGGGTACCAATCCAGTTCATTTCTTCACATCTTCAGCAGCATTTATTGACCTCAGCTGGCAGCCATTGTTTGAAGCACTAGGGATGTAATTGCCTGGAAGCAGAATTTCTGTCCTGGAGTTGGGATTTTAGTATGGGAGAGAGAGGATAAACAAATACCATAATGTCAGACTTAAGGTCTGGGGGGAAGTGTTGTTGAGAGATGTGTGAGCCAAGTGTCTAGTCAACATCCTTAGAAGGTTCAGGATGTAATTCTGTGATGAGGTATATTCTGGGTTGAAATGCGAACAAGAATAAGTCAGCCTCAAAGATGGGATTCTTCCCCTAGGGTAATGGAGGAGCTACTTCAATGCCCTGAAATGAGAAAGAGCAATGCACTTGAGGAAAGAGGCTGAGCAGTAAAGGGACCACAGAGTGTGAGAATGAAGGACATTGGCAAGGAAACTGGTCCTCCTAATGAGGATTTTGGAGCTGAGTCTAAGCAATAGGAAGCCATTGAAGAGACTTAGGAAGTAGAGGAAAACTGCCCAGGGTTTCCAGATTCCCCTTCTTCACCAAAAAGAGGATTCTGAGAAGAGACAAAGTAAGGACTAGGAAGTTTATTATACCTCCAAATACACAGTCAAGGGATGAGTGTGGCCTTCTCAAAAGAGAGTTGCATCATGGGATTTTGGATAGCTTGTTTCCTGGGCAAACTCTAATGGAAGGGAGGGTCAGTAACATGTTAAGGTGGGGGAAAGGCAGGGAATTCCAGGAGTGGATTGTAATTTTCCCAAAATAGAGTCTACTTTCATTTTCTGTCTTAGTGTTGGGCTTAGAGATGTGGCATGGTGTCAGATGCATAATGGGAGCAGGTAACTTTGCAAGGTTAGTGATATGGGAATGCTGTTATACGGAAGCAACAGTGAGCAGCCATCTCAGTGGGTTTGGTGGCTTAGTGTTCCTGCTGGAGTAGAGCTGTGTGACTGTATCAGCCTAAAGCCACTTACACTTGGCTCTGGTTTTCCTTGTACCTATCCACCTCAAATATACTTCCCAAGTCAGTCACATAGCATTATACGAGCTTTACTCAATATCTTTGATTGTATACTTGGATTATTTTTCTCTGCTACTTAAAAACAAATGGAGAACATGCATCTTTTATTTTTCTGAGTCTGCGTTACTTCACTTAGTATAACAGTTTCTAGTTCCATCCATTTTCCTGCAAATTTCATGATTTCATCTTTCTTTACTGCTGAGTAGAACTCCATTGTGTAAATGACCCACATTTTCATTGTCCATTCATCAGCTGAGGGACACTTAGGTTGATTCCATCTCTTTGTTACAGGTTGGAGATCGCACAAAATTACCAACACCACTTTAATAGAAAGTAGCAAGGTAAAATTTTATCACGACTGGCTGGGCAGTCTATCTCGGGAGTAGAAGCAGCCCCAAATGGTTTTTAACAAGAGTTTTTATAAGGTTACAAGGGCTTTATTCAAAGAAACATCACTCTACATTTTTTTTTTTTTTGTCTTTTTGAGACAAGGTCTCCCTGTATCCCCAGCTGACCTGGAACTCACTATGTAGACCAGGCTGGCCTTGAACTCACAGAGATCATCCTGCCTCTGCCTCCCAAGTGCTAGGATTAAAGGTGTGAGCAATTTTAAAATTAGCCAACTACCTAGCCACAACAAGCAAGCATTGTAACAGAAGCCAAAATCAGCAGTGACCAGATGGCCACTGAATAACAGGGTGGTCTCATCCTATATGTCAGGATGACCTGAAATAGCAGAGCAAGCAAGTTACAGAAGCAAAATAAGCAGTTAGCCAGATACAGGATGTCCCAGATGAGCACATTCCACAGTTTTGTGGTTAGGCCATTTTTCAGAACTCAAGTTTGCTCCCCCTTATGGGTATTTCCCATAAGTAGGGCAGAAGACACTGACGAAATGGAGTAACTTGGGTCAAGTTGCTAATACAGTTCACTCTTAGCTATTGTGAAAAGAGCAGCAACAAACATGGATGTATAAGCATCTCTGCAATAGGATGAGTTCCTTGGGTATATGCCAAGGAGTGGTATAACTGGGTCAAATGGTAGGTTCATTTGTAGTTTTTTAAGTTCTCCATGCTGATTTCCATAGGGGTTGAACAAGTCTGCAGTCCCACCAGCAGTGGATGAGTGTTCCCCTTTCCCCACATCCTCTCCAACATTTGGTATCATTTGTTCTCTTGATCTTAGCCAGTCTAACTGGGGTAAGATGAAATCTTAAATTGGTTTTAATTTGCATTTCCCTAATTACTAGTGATGGTGAACACCTTTTAAGATGCTTCTTAGCCATCTTTATTTCTTTGTTTGAGAACTCTCTGTTCAGTTCCTTAGCCCATCTTTTAATTAGGTTACTTCCTTTCTTGATTCTTTGTTTTTGGAGTTCATTATATATTCTGGATGTTAACCTCTGTCAGACGTGTTGCTCGTGAGGATTTTCTCTCACTCTGTGGGTTTTCCCTTCACTTCCTTGGTTGTTTCTTTAGATATACAGAAAATTTTTAGTTTAATGAGGTCCCATTTGTTGATTCTTTATGTTGTTTCCTGGGCAATTGATGTCCAGTTTAGAAAATCCTTTCCTACGCCTATATTTTTTAGGTTATTACCAATGTTTATTTTTAACAGTTTCAGAGTTTCAGGTTTCACACTGAGGTCTTTGAGCCATTTGGAGTTGACTTTTGTGCAAGGTGAAAGATAGGGTTTTAGTTTCATTCTTCTACAGGTGGAGATCCAGTTTTGCCAGCACCATTTGCTGAACATGCTGTCTTCCCTCCAGTGAATGTTCTTGGCCCCTTTGTCAAATATCAGGTGGCTGAAATTGAATGTACTCATATTTGGGTCTTCAATTTTGTTCCATTGATCTATGGGTCTATTTTTCTGCCAGTACCATGTTGTTTTTATGAATATAGCTCTGTAATACAGTTTAAAATCTGGTATAGTAATCCCCCTAGCATTGCTCTTAGTGCTCAGTGTTGCTTTAGCTATCCTAGGTCTTTCTTGCTTCTATATGAGTCAGGATGGTTTTTTCCAATTCTGTGAAAAATGTCATTGGGATTTTGATTGGCATTGCATTGAATCTGTAAATGGCTTTTGGTAGGATGGTCATTTTCCCAATATTAATTCTTCCAATCCATGATCATGGGAGGTCCTTCCATTTTCCGATGTCTTCCTCAATCTCTTTCTTTAAAGATTTAAAATTTTCATTGTAGAGATCTTTAATATCTTTGGTCAGGTTTATTCTGAGATTTATTTTTATTTTTTGCAACTATTATGAAGGGGAGTGTTTCCATGTACTCTTTCTCTGATTGCTTGTTATTGGTATATAGAAAGGCCACAGACTTTTGTAGATTAATTTGTAACCTGCCACTTTACTGAACATGTGAATAATTTCTAGGAGTTTTCTGATGGAATTTTTGGCATCTCTTAGATATACTATCATATCACCTGCAAAAAGGTATGATAATTTGATCTCTTCTTTGCCAATTATTTTTCCTTTAGTTTCCTTTATTTTCTTATTGCTCTTGCAAGAGTTTCAAGCACTATGTTAAAGAGAAGTGGAAATAGTGGACAGCCTTGTCTGGTTCCTGATTTCAATGGGAGTGCTTCCAGTTTTCTCCATTTAGAATGATGCTGGCAGTGGGTTTGTTATATACGGCTTTAATTATGTTGAGGTATATTCCCTCCAGGCCAATTCCCTCTAGGACTTTGAACATAAATGCATGTTGAATTTTGTCAAAGGCCTTCTCTGTATCTACTAAGATGACCATGTGGTTCTTGTCTTTGAGCCCATTTATATGATTTATGATGTTTATTGACTTACATATATTGAACCATCCCTGAATGTCTGGAATAAAGCCAATTTGATCATGGTGGATGATCTTTTTGATATGTGTCTGCATGTGGTATTTTGTTGAGAATTTTTGCATCTATGTTCATTAAGGATAGGGTCTATAGTTTT